AAACATTATGTGATGAATTGTTTAAAATGACAAAATAAATTTATGTCGTCAATAAGTTCTTTATTCTGTATCGTGCAAAATTTCAAAAAGGAAAGGGGGAATTATAGGTAGTATGTAAGCGTAACTTATAAAAAACATTTCTAAAAAATGTGAAATAATAATGTGTATATACATTTGAATGCTCACAAAATGGTGTATTTATTTTTCCTCGTTGATCATGTTCATATACTAACATGCGAACACGTAAATGGAAAAAATAGGAAAGGGAAAAAACAACAAAACCCGTCAGATTAGTACACGAGAATAACTGTAACTTAATGTAACTTCCCTTTTACGGAAATGCACAATTTTAAACGGAAGTTTTTCAAGCACGAGTCACTTAAAAGGGCAGAAATTGGCACTTCAAAGGTCAAGATTTAGATCGTCAACCTGATAAGCCATGTTTAAAACGTAGGGGGCGCTTTATTGTCCGGAAGTACAAGTTTCCCGCCGCTGAACAAATATGTAACGTTTCCGTTTTAACTCATTATCAGACGACATTTCTTGAATGAAAAAGTAAAGGAATGACAGAATATAAACGAACGCTGATATATCCCTGTATGTATTTGGATTAGATAAAATGCATTTTGTTGCTCAAATTATCCATTTTACTGTTTGTTCATAATAATAATTCACTATTTTTAACTGGAAATATTTGATTTGAGATAAAGAAATAAATATACACTTCAAATAACTCGCTTTTCATTAAAAAATATTCCGGCATTTTTATTTATGTAAATGATAAAATATATTTCAAGACTTTTTCAACTGATTTAGCAATATTTGCAAGTGCTATTTCAACTTTACAAACTTATTTGACCAAGCAAACAATAAAATGATAACATAAATCATTATTTAAATAGAGATATTTTTGGTCATAAATGTTAAATGCGGGTGTTTTTTGTTTCTAGAATTTGTTTTTCGTGGAGTTTAAAACACTTTAGAATATAAAATTTGGAGTGTTTTCTACAGTTGATTATTTACATTGATTTCGTCGAAAAAAAAAGTTAAATAAAACGGTGCTTAGTAAACAAAAATGATTTTTTTCCCAAAACCTTAAAAACAGACATTATAATTATTTACGTTAAAATAGTAAATTTGAATGTTTTTTCTACATAAATAAACGAAAATGTCCGTAATAAAATGTGAAAATTTTTTATACTTTGCAAAACAACACCCCTAATATATTGTTCATGATCTATTATATACAGAACAAAAAGTATTTTTAACGTGAAATAAGAAGAAAGAAAAAAGGTATACGGTAGTTTTGGAAATTTGAAATTCTGCGGTACATTTTGAACTTACTAAAATGTTAAACGAAACGTTCAATCATGCTATGTTATTCCGTGTATTTTTTGTACATTTTTTTTAATTATACAAGACAAACCTGTAACTGCGTGTAGACAGAGATTCTTCACGTACAATTTCAATTTCAATTTCAATTTTATTTACAATAACACTCAGTTTGTATAATGTACAAAAACATGAGCAAATCAAATATGTAGACATATAAAAGAAATAGGTCACTATCAAAAATAGGTATATAACATAGAGGACAACTGCGTGACTAACGCTATTTTTAAATGTTATGCCCAAATGTAATATTTGAAAATACTGATAATTGCTTTACTTTCTTATCATGTAAAATGGATATCTTTTGAGTACACGTACAGACGATATATTCCGTTAGACTTTACCACTGTAGACAGATACAAGTATCTTTTAAAACAAACTGGCACTTTTTTTTAAAGACAGGATCAAATAAACTTGACCAGTAATAGGGAATGAAGTTTCATAAATATATTTTGGACATTCTCTTATTCAAATTGGACATATTCAGAGAGAATTTCAATTAATTTCTAATAAAAGTATTTTATCGTTAGATGAGCATAGTATATCTTGAAACTTTGTATCCGTTTATAAATTAATTTAGCTCAATTTCTTAATGTCTGTGTTAAATATTTTAAAAAGACATCTTTTAACATTCTCTAGTAATGATTTCTCATCTAATTTATTTATCAAAAATTTAGACTATAAAATACCGTTTCTTAACTATTGTCAATCTAAATATAAATTTTGGTAGGATGATTATATATGAATTTATAATGATTCAGAGTGAATTTAGGTTAATTTAATGATATTTATTTAATTCGTCTGCCTAAATGTTTACAGAGTTTCTTTATTGAAATCAAATGCATTTATTGTTTATGTAAAACTCTAAAAACATAGTTATATTGAATCACTCCTTGTGCTTCGTCCACGAAAAACACTCGTTCAAAGAAAAGGCTACTATGATTTTTTTCTCATTATATTTTGACAAGTAGGAAAAACAACCTTATTAGTATTCATGATATATCAATGTTTGAAGAGCAGGGGTAGGAAAAAACTAGAACATTTAAAACATTATATTCATGTTTTAAAAGTTGCACGTAGTTTATGACTAGTGCTTTTAAATTATGAAGATTTATCTTGTCACGAAGTAAAGACCCCTGTATGATAAATGAATGAAGTGTCATAATGTTGTATATAGTAGTTTTTATAAGCAGCGAATTTTATGTTTATTTGAGCCGCGTCACGACAAAACCAACATAATGGGTTTGCGACCAGCATGGATCCAGACCAGCCTGCGCATCCGCGCAGTCTGATCAGGATCCATGCTGTTCGCTATCAGTTTCTCTACTTGTTATAGGGTTTGTAAGCGAACAGCATGGATCCTGATCAGACTGCGCGGATGCGCAGGCTGGTCTGGATCCATGCTTGTCGCAAACCCATTATGTTGGTTTTGTCATGACGCGGCTCATTTTATGATACACTCGAGTCGGGACATTTCTCTCCACGTATTCAGTTGCAACGTAGATTTACATTATTCTCTCTCTCCAATTTTAATGACTGTGCATTTTTTGCATGGAAAATGCATTTCCTGTGTTGGTAAGGTATTTATTTCGTTTTTGTTGTGTGGCAGATTTGTTTCCGTTCTTATCATCATTATGAAAAGAGAAATGTGTGTACTGATAAAAAAAGTAGAAATATAAAGAACACTGAAGTGAAATGGAAAAAAAACTACCTGAAATTATTGTATTTTTATTGGTTTAATGACGTGTCTGTATATACATAGACGTGTTTTTTTTTTGGCACTAGCGTTTTATAGTGGTGCTTCAATAAGTTTTATCAGTTTATACATGTACTTACTTTTACAGGGGATTGGGGGTCTTTTTCAATTTTCTTTTCAATATATTCATTGATATTTTTTTTTTTTTGATGTGTAAGAATTTAGTACATGTGCATGTACCTGAAGTTTTATCTTGAGTGTTCGCTGCCAGGTATCTTTATTTCTTTATTTTAAGATGGAAATATGCTTTGTGTTGAAATATTAATACAACGTCAAAAGCATCTATGTCGTAAAACAGATAGTGTTGTCCAAGTCAATAAAAAAAATCCAATGATCTCTGAATGTGTGTACGGTCAAGAGGGAAAGAATCCGCATGATGTCGTAAGCGGATATGCCTCGGACAGATAAAAACTACGACCACGTGACCCATTAGTCGTATTTAGTATTGACATTTTATGATTATTATCACAAGTTTTCTGTTTTAATCTATTGACGAATTAAGCCCGGATAGAGGCCGTGTGTCAGGCAAGGGGGAAATATCATATCAGCTTTTGGCAGATTGTAAACCCCAGGTCACGTGCATTATTAATTCACTAAGATCGTGCATTATTTTATCAATTCAATTTTTTTTATGTATTACTCGCGCTTTATTTCATAAGCTTAGTTATTTTATTAAATCTTTACAATTTTTTCTGTTGTTTGTTTCCGGGATTCGTATAAAATTTGCGATGTATAATCAAATGAATTAACCATTAATTTAAAAGATATGTCATTGAATTTTTAAATACCAGAGTGATTTCCTGTTTAATGTATATGTTAATGCACAAAAATTAAATTATGATTTTTTTATGTGTAAAACGAAGTTAATTTATAATCTAAAGCCTAGAGGCATGTGTCAAAATATTAGCGTACAGACCGACTGTTGGTTTAAATAATAAACGCATTTTAAAAGCCCCTTTTAATGTGCAACAGTTTTCTATGACAAATATTGTACTTGGTTTTATCTGCAGATTTTAACAGATTTATATTTAGTGCCGAGCTAATTTATCTTGTGTAAATAATATTGCGCCATTTTCGGTGATAAAGCTTTGAAAGCAACAATTACTATACAGAAATGACGTAATAATTGGCACAGATATGTTAAACCCTCCTTTAAGTTGCTAGGCAACACAGAGCGCCAAGTTTTCCCATTACAGCTTACTTTATAAAAATAAATAATTACATATGCATTATTTATTGCCAACAAATACGCTGAGTTAAAGAATTTTTGTACTTAGTAATATATAAAGGTTTTCCCATGTCTTTATTTTCCATGTAACATTTTATAGAACACTGTAAGTGTTTTCATTTCCGATGGGAGAGTATAAATGTAAAAAACGTTAAAAATAGGCGCGAAGTTTCGCAGGAAATTCATACATTCATAACATTTGTAAACCTGTTTTGCATGAAGATAATACATCAAATGTCATCAAGTACATCCGTTTAAAATTTCCAGATTTTTTTGTGCTAAAAAAACCTTTTCTTTACATTTTCTGTCTTTTTATTTTTTCCCTTGCCTTTTAAATATTTAAAATAAAATTACACTAAAGAAATATTTATATAAAATCCCATATACATGACGTAACATGACTCAAAATTTTTTGGACTCTTCTTTGTTTCATCAAAACTGTTTCGTGCTTGTTTGAACTTTATCTCTATGAATGATAAAATCTACCAAACAAATTTAATTAATCATGAAGCTCGTTGGAAGTCGCCCAAATCCATGCCTCGCGTTGGACGTAGCTCCGCCCACATAGTATTTGATTGACATAAATTCCCATTAACGTCGTTTTCGCTTGAATACGTTCTGAAAGACGATACGGCCGTTTGTGCTCTATTTTTATTGCCCGATGTTTAATTTATCATACTAGACACACAAAGTAAATTACTTATTCTGTCATTTATGTTATTGTATATACGGTGTGGTCTGGTAGTGCTTAAACTATACATGTACAATGTGTATTAAAAAACCGGGAGAATTCTTGCACATTAAGTGCTTATTACGCTGCAACGTTCTCTTAAGATGCGCATCAAAGCACGGAATATAGTTAAATAGCTCGGAGTATGATAAATCAAACGCTTTAGGGGGAATAATTAATTGTGTTCACAAAGTTTACTATATGCTGAGACTTGAAACTGCGGATGTGATCTTATTCATCGTGAGGGGGATTTAGTGCTCTTATTATACCTGTGTAGCTGGAAATTTCAGTTCATTTATGCATATTATACAGAGTTCATGAATAGGAAATCATTTAATTTATTTTGCATATCGTTTAATAATGGACTTTCTTATGTGCAGGTTTTTTGATTTTCATAAAGGGAGATAATATCGGGGATAAATGGATTTAATGTGTTTCAACTATGTATGGAAACTTCATTGTTTTATAAGGTTTTTTTTCTTGGGGTCAATGAGGAAACAGTGAATGTTAACAAGATGTCAGGGGAGATAATTCAATAGCAAATATAAGGGGACATAACCTTTGTTCTACGATGGACATGTCTGGGAAAATTAGCATATGTCAAAGGGTAAGGTCATCATTTCATTTCATATACTTTAAATGTCAATATATATATAGATTCTTTTGCTTTAAAAATATATTACACGGTGTGCGTATAAATTAGCATGTGTGAAAGTTACTTTTACAGGGAGTTCAAATAACGCTTCATTTCAGCTGTTAGCCCCGTGCAAAGAGATATAAAATACATTTTAATTTGATATCATTTTGTTACTATGCCCTTTGCCGTCTTTTGAAATAGGAGATATAATTGTTAAAACGAGACTACACTGCGACGCCAGTAAAAAAAACTTGATTTGAATTTTATTAGCTTTGTTATAACGAAAAAATAGAGTGAAATGACAAAATTGCTATGGAGTTATGTACTCGTCTAAATGTCGTCTGCTTTATTTTCTTGGAAAACACAATTTCCGGTGTTTGATCGTCTCCCAGTGATATCGTGCAGTTGTATTGAAAAACTTTGGATGCTCTGGTATTGGGAAATACTTGACGAAGAGAAATAGACATTACTATTCACATGTATAATATATTTTATGAATAATTGATGAACCTTTTGACAGTGGTTTTATACTTGCAGAATTTCCATTTCTGAGATTAGATTTATCGGGGCAGGAAATGAATCGACAAGTTTTTGTTTTTTTGTACATTATGTAATCTGTCCGTATAGGTGATTGTGTAATACTATGTATTGATGATTTAAAGATGAAACTTTTAGTGATGTAGTTAAACAGAATGACTTGTCTAGAACGACCATTACAGGTAATCGTTCTAGACAGGTGGTGTCTTGATTCAGGTTAATTTAACATGTATTTGTAATTGAAAAAACCCAACAAAAAACAACAATGAGCTTTGACGAGAGGTTGGTAAGTCTATGCTCCTCTTTATTAGGATAGTTTGTCACACATGTTTGACTGTATATGTAAGTAGAAGTTTGACTGTATCATTTTAATCAGACAAAAATCAATGTCTTCAATGTCAGATTATATTGTCAATGTCGTCATTACACGATGAGCAGCGTAATGGTGTCAAGATCGTTTGATTTTATTTCCACGTACTTTATATATCGATTGTTTTACCACTTAAACTTACTCGGAAATCACGTGCACAATAACCAGGATATAACGGTGTGAACTCTACATTTAGTACTAACATTTTTTAATATTTATTTCTGCATCTTTTGTGGTTACTGTATCCTGCAATATGATGATGTTGATACTTAAGATTTCTGTCCAGTAATTGCAACATATTAATGTAGCTGGAACTCAAAACCGGAAGTACCAGTACGTAAAATAATTCGATAATATGAAGCAATGACGTATGAGCCAGGTATTCTCTATGTGGGATCAAATTATGTAACTTTATTTGAATTGCCATATGCTTCAACTCTGCAACAATGCTATCTGGATTTAAGTGCCACTGTTGTTTCGAAATCTTTTCGTGCTGTTGTTGTTGTTGTTGAAGGGATGGCTAACGTAATTTATAACAGTTTTGCACTTTCTTCAGTAGCATGTGGGCGATGTTTTGTGTTGTTTTATTTTTAATTTTTCGTAGCTTTCCTGATCCATGTGAAATTTAACAACATGCTTTTAATGTATGATAAGGAACTTTACTAGATCACCAATTACCCCAAGTGCACGTGAGAACTAATGTTGCCTTTTCATTATTTCCAACAGTCTGTTTTTTAGCACGCATTCTTCGTCTGCTGTATGGAAATTATCATAAGATTTCGTTTAATTTAGAGCCAGTCCGTATGTTAGAATGGTTCAGAAGAAATTTCTTTCTCTCTAATTTAACGCAATCAATTACACTATCTTGTTGCTTCTCGTTTGATACAATGCATCGTATGATATTTAGTGTGTCCGGTCAAGATATTTTGATGTAAAATGACCGTGAGAAACCACTGACCATAACATTTAGCGTATAATCTTACAGAATGGTGTGGTTTAATGTTACAGCTAGATCGTGGTGTTGCATTCATAGAATCAAACAGACGATAATGATAAATCAGCCGACATCTTTTTTTGTGTACGCAGATGAGAGAAAATGGTGTATAATATTGGTTTTCATGTTTGTTTTCCAAAAAATCATTGGATAATGAATAGTATACATAGATGACATAATAAATATTGCAAGCATAGAAATATATTGTTGTTTTCACATACGAAAAGACTGTAGTTGATAATACATGTACATGTATGTATAGATACTGCAGCTCCATCATGAATATGACGTGCAATTTTCATCCGATATAACGCTGAAGTCGTTTAATTTATTTTACTCTTTTAAACGACGATAGAGAAACAATTGAAATTATGTTTGGGTGTTTTTATTCAGCATCAATCTTCGTCATGTTTTATTATCTTGTCATTATTATTGCACAGAAAACTGTGCAATTTGTCACAAAATAATAAAACAAACTGCACACTTGCCTGTGCTTATTTCCCTGTATTTCATGTCACTTACGTTTATTAAGTAGTTTTGAAGACGGTTATGTTATAATGTTTAGAATGGGACATGCAGCTCCCAACCGTATCGTCTGCATCCTGCATCATTAACATGTCCATCAACTCCGAAAACATCGCAGACATGTACTTTCTACATGTATACGTACAATTCCTGTCGGCTCTATGGGAGAATTGTGGAACCAGACTTTCACAGGCAACATTAAAGATTACGAAAAAACGTGCTGTATAAATAAGTACGCGTCTTTCGCAACAATGGAGACGTTTTCGTTTACATCAACTTCAAATTTATTTGTCAGCCACTTGAGATGCGTTTATCGTAAATGCACGAGAACTGAACACGAACAAGTACTTTCAATGAGAATTCTGAAAAGTAACCTTAACAAATGATTGCATTTTTCGTCTTTGATAAAGACGTACTTGGGTTTCATTTTAAAGATTAGATCAGTATCTGGGGGAGTAAAGAAATCTTTAAATCGTGGCATATCTGATGAATTAACCTGATATATACATTACCTGTTCCCTTTTATGTTGTGTTTTTTTTTGTGTTGGTGGGTGTTTTATTTTCTTATAAAAAGAGTTTATTCAGTTTTTATTCAGAGGCTTAAGAATATTTTTTAAAGATAGATTTACGGTTTTAGGGACTACTTCTTTATTCTAAACAAATGGTCCAAAAGTAGAGCAAATCTTAGACAACGTTTGAGTTAAATTTCATTTTTTCCCTGACGTTATTTAGAATATGTGCAAGCGTTTGGCTTATTACCCTAACAATCAGTCTCGACAGACGCTTTTAATTATAAACATGTTCTTTGTATGAGACGAAGTGAAGACGTAATTTTAAATAATTTATTGCGCTTAAATCGTGTATTAATGCGTTAAATTCGTGAACGGTGTGCAATAGATTTTTTTTAGCTTAGACCAAAAACCTTGCTTTGATTATTAGACTAAACAGCACAGAGACCGTAGTCATAAATGTGTAATTTCCTACATTTTTTTTTTCGGTCATTAATTTTCGAGAACACGTATGCCCTGACAGATATAAATGATTATTATTCATACGTGTTTTACGAAATTACATAAGTGCATAAAACAGCATGAACGTTTAATAAGTCGATGATATGTATGTATTATTTTTATGTAAGTGTTGGATTGTGTTCTATTCTGTTCTTTGTAACCACAACTTTTTATCATACAACAACAACATCACCACCAGCAAAAACAACAACAAAACCAGTCCTAGCCCCCAAGATAGCAGACAGATAACAAAAATATATTTTCGTACTCCGTCCTGTTTCAAAACAATGAAAATACCACAAAAAAAAGAACACACATAACCGGACATTCATTCTTTTAATACAAAGAATAAAACATTGGTCATATAAAGACATACCCTGTGGATTCAGTTCACCAATAAGTATATCAGTAAATCAACAGTGACTGTAGCACAAGAAACAAGGTTCGACTGTTATTTGGTTATACTGTGTATATATATAAAGACGAAACTTCATTAAGTGGTTTCACAATAAACCTCTTGTGTATGTTTTTATTAACTGTACACAGATCCGGATGTGAGATATAAACGCCTTTATAACATTACCCAAAGTTGAACAAAATTGTATAAAATTATTTGCGAAAACTACTTCTGTATTTACGAACAATGACCCCGTTCACCTTTCTCATACATTCTTATCTAACGATTGTAAAAACTCGTAGTTAGAAATTCAAACCCTCTACACTTTAACATAATAATCGTTATCAGAACCTAACATCTTCTAACATAAGCGTAATACCGCCTCGTTCTGCACAAAGTGGGCGGGGTAAACAGTTTTTCGACAAAGCCAGTCACAATCATAATGATTTATATGGATTACTCAAGGAATCTCCTCATTAGACGGATAAATAAGTTCAATTCAACGCCACCGATTTTATGGATTGGCCGCCTATTGAAAAATATGTACGCTTTGTACACCGTAATTACGTAGATGAACGGAAAGATAAACGCGGATTTTGTATCCAAATACCTACAAAAACAAGTTATAATAGTAAATACCATTGAATGAAATGTACCCATAACAAGCTTACCCAATACGGATTTTTAAAATGTTATACGCGATAACCCGAATGCCTTGCATTACATAAAGAGTTTTAACTCTTCACATACCTGTTGAAATTAATATCTTTTTACAAGCTTTCTTGTTTGTTTTTTTCTCTCCGATAGCTCGTTATAGTTTCCAGTTACATTTATTTCCTGTCAATAGTTTTCCCCCACATTATCTTTGATTTCTTTACCTGCTCTTTTGATAAAAGTTATTTTGCTCAATGAAATAAAACTTTTAAAGATCTTAAATACGTCTTTAACAAAAATAGAAAGAAAGAAAACACTGATAATGCGCTGCAATGGGCCGATTTTCAAGTATTAACATTTCAGACAAAATTTTAGAATTATTTAAAATGAGATATCTGTTATGAGAATCTTCAAAGGGAAATGTAACACCGTTTAATGGAGGAGTTTTTGTCTCAGGTGTGTATAACACTAATCTTTAGGAAGACTTTATGAAGGCGGTCCATGACGCATTCCATGTCTGAAACTGGAACCCTGGATACAGAAAAATTAAAACCTTGACCCGACGCAAAACAGCCATAACTTAAGCTTTGTTTTTATATTTGATAATACCTTAATGCTTGTAAAGAAATACATGCACGTAGCTCTCAGTATAACAAGATAAAAATTGCAATTAATATTCTAGTCATGATGTTTGAAGGGATATGAAAATATTTAATTCTCTTTCTTTATAAACGAATTTGACGCTAATCCATACATTATTTCCTTTCAAACATATTTTAACTAAAGCGATGGACGAGCGATTTCCATTGATTGTTTACTATAAATTGACAATATACCCCTTTTTAAAGCTATGAATCTGCTGCCTATTGTTTGAATTTTTAAAAAAGAATAATTTCAAAATACTTGTTTGAAAGAAGTACGTTTATATATTCCGTTAGCAGCGTATGCAACAATCACTTTCCTGCTAAGATATGATAATATATCGTTCCCGTACATTACACTATAAATCATTTACAAAAATATTTAATTAGAAATAGTTTTATATCCTTTAACGTATACACGTATATTTTTGTATATAGAACAGAAAAGGTTAGTTATTGGCGGAACGTTGAGAAGGTTTTTTTTTCTTCAACTGTTATATAACTTTTATACATAAATTCGTATAAAACTATCGGCGTTTTTTTTTGTAGTCAAACTTAAGATATTCCCTTTAATTTCATTGCTTTAATCAGAACATTATTTGTAACTGATAAGATTTAAACGGTTAAATTTTACCAATTTCACATAATTATTAATTATCCATTTCCGAAAGTCATTGAACTATTTTTTTTTGTATATTTTGCTGAATCATTTAAATACAAATTTCTCAAAGTATTAGGTTTACTACTGTTCTTGATTGATTCATTCATTGTGATTTTCGTACGTTAATTAATTTTGTAAATTTCACGAATACACCATTTGAATACTGATGATTTTTCAAGGTACACATGTTTTCCACATCATGAAACAGTTATTTTGTTAAGTTTTGCTTTCAAGCTTTAATGCGTATTTTTATTCTGTCAAATAAAAGTATAAGTCAGGTATACCGAGAAAAATTCCCCATCCCCTAGTCAAACTTAATAATATAAATAGTCATTTATTTCCACACATCTATTTTCTACACACTTTACGACAGATATCCAGAGATTATTTTAAAATTCTACGGATTTATATATCTTTCATGACCGTGATTTTTTCGTATCACCTGATGTGCAGGAATTGTTCTTTCATGTACAATTTAATTATTATTTATTCTTACTTTCAGCTGGACCGAAGCTTCCGGAAAATGGAACGGTTCAAGCGTCTGCGTGTATCGGAAGTTAATCCTCACTTGATTTGTGTCCTTTGCGGCGGTTATTACATCGATGCCACAACCATTATAGAATGTCTACATACATGTAAGTCTCCTTATTATATGTTTGTATGAATTTCTCTTGTTGTAGGTATTTGACTAATTGAGTTCTTCCATAAATAGTTTCCACAAAGAAATCACAATAACATGCGTCCATATAACATTGATATTGTGACAAATTATTTTCTTGGTCAAAGCGATTGTAACCAGAAAGAGTCCGGACTAACAGGAAGATATTTTCATTTCACTAAGAACAAGCTTGTAAAGGGTCGGCTTGCAAAGAAAGTGATCATTGTGTAAAGGCAAGTATCTTCCCAGGTATAATCGTTTATGAAAACTTTGCAAGTACGTGAGTTATTGGAATTTTATTTTTATTTTCATTTCCAGTTCCAAATGTCTGAACATTCGGAATACTCGCCTGCATCCAATAATCCTTATATGAAGTTTCAGGAAAGGATATCCGTTTCCTGAAATTTGACTTCTAGCAAGTAAACCGTCGTCTAATAAACTAATATCCTAAATTCTCTAATGTGAAATCAATTCAAATCAACAGAACACTAATGACTGTTTACTTAATTTTAGTAACAAATACATTTTGAAGTATTCTTCTTTTTCATAAAATATAAGAACAAAAAAGAAATAGACGCCAAGTCGCTGTCACTTCCGGTAGATTCATATTTCATAATAATCATCCTTTCCCGAATTGGGTTTCTCTCGAGTTTGGATTCTTAGTGAGTTTATGTTCTCAAATAGACTCGACATTAAATATAAATAGCAAACATTTACAGTGTAATGTGGTACTAAATTTTGTTTCAGATTGTAGTATGACGTTTTGAGTTCACTAAAAGGCTTTTAATTATTCAATGTATAATTGGTCATTACTATCAGACATTTTGCAACTATTGGTACTTTACAATGTACTGATTATTATGGGGGAGCGTTGCTTTATTTTATTTTGTAATTTCATTTTGACTCGACAACGGAACCGAGAACACCGGCCCTGAATTTGGAATATGCCTGATATTTTAACTTTAACTTGCACTTACTATTTTAAGAGTACGATGTGCCTGAAGTTGTCAATCTTACTTTGAACCGGTAATATATAGATTGTTTTCATTGGTTAACTTTGAAGTATGACTCGTACTTTGAAAAAGAATATTACCGTTATTATGAAAGCCTTGTTTCTGAATCACGTTGTTTCTCTTTTTCGAAATAATTTATAATAAATGTTTTGCGTCATCAATTTACGTCCAACCGTCAGTTATTAGGAAGGAAAAACTGGAAATTCCTCTGCCAAGGTAATTAATTATATTGTCAACATTTCTGGATAAGAAAACTCAAAAGTTCATTTGTTATTTACGTCTGATCCACTTGTTTCCCTTGTTTATGTTTTCTGTTAATTGAAAATTCTTTGATCTTGCCGACGATTAATTGTAATCTATTTAAACAAATATGTCAGGTAGACATTACACGTGATTAAAGTGGTGTTTATAAAGGCAAACTTTTATAGAGTAAAAATTTTATAAACTAAAATAAACGTTTATGGGTGCTATTTTTGAAAATTTTATTTTGTATAAAACATGATTTATATATATAAAATATGCATATAAAGTACAAACACATAATCAAACAAAGTAATAATATATGAATATGAATTTCACAATAGCTTTATCTTGAAATACTGTAGAAATGCATACTAACACCCCCTCCCTCCAATGCTCATTCTTTGCAAAACCCATAATGTGCAGCTCTTGTGGGTTTTTTTCCTGTTAAATTTCGATTTACAATCTTCCAATACTTCCATTAAATACGGAGGGTTCATTAATACCATCTTAATATCCTCTTTCTAGATTGTTTCCAATCAATAATGGAGAATTAATGACCAGAATTGAGCTATTGGGCGACATTTAGCTATAATTTCATGCCCATTTTATGTGTTCGCTTCCGTCAGAATTGATCGGAATGCTTCGGTGAAGTAGCTAGAAGTTCTTTCTCTATGGAATCTTTACCCCGCCATTCGTGCCACTCGTGCGCGCGTGCAACCATACCTCCCTTGTAGAAACATTTTGCGAATGATACATTTTTTTATTTAGAAACCTTATATGTTTATATAAGAAAATCATATTCTGCTTAATTGCGGTCAACGTCCGAAGTACAAAGAAAGGAAAAACCATGGGCAATCAATTATATCATATAATTATGTGTGGCGTCCAGGAGATGGCATTAAAGTTAGGAAAAATACAAATAATTACGGCAATAAGAAATATATCTTTTCCTTTGTGTTTTATATAACTCTTTCGTAAGTGTTTTCATATACTGACGTCACTTGGAGAAGAACGCTTTTACACAATACGTTATATCATTTTGATTTATATTCACTAACGTTTTATGTCCACATAAATATTTGTAGTTTTTCGGGCAAAACTGAAATGATGGTGACTGTAAGCAGTTTCGTGATAAACTATACTAGTATACATTATATAATGTATACATTCTGTGTAGTTTTTTCTCTCGTATGTTTTGTGGAATTGACGTCACCGTCAAAGCTATAAAAGTAACGCGCCTTCAGGCAGTTTGCTATAACGTAGTATCCATATTATTATTATTGACATTTCTGATAAAGGGAACTTTCTAATGGCTATATCTGATCATATTTATGCACGTTTTATCTTTACAATTTTGTGTTGTAATACCTAATATAGAAGATGAAAGATAAACGATAACAGACTCTCTGTATACGATAGCTTCGCTAACTTTATAAGTCTGGAAGTAATGTAAATATATCCAAATAGAAATTCGTCATCAAAACATGACGTCAATGTTTAATTTCGTTAATCATGTTAAACCGTTATTGCAAATGAAGTACATTCATTTAATACGTAGCAAGTCAGTTCATAGTTGAAACAATATATAATTGTTCTATAATTTGAAAATTAAAAAAAAGGATTAAAAAAACTGCATCTGCATCTTTCATCATTTTTTTCTTCTGAGAACAAAAAATACATCCGTCAGACGTTTTCAAACGTTGTTCAAATGTTTATATAGCACCGTGGATCGATATGTAGGAACCACTTTTGGAATACGATCTTGGTATTTTCACAAGTCTGTTTGTTTCGTATATTAGCCACATAATTACGTTTTTGTTGAATGATGTTTTGGTTTATATTCAAACCAAAAAAAGATAATAACAGTTTTATGTAGCCTTGAACTGCTTTGTATAAAATTTATCGAACCGAGAGCTGATTACTTAATTAAGTTATGATTGTTATTTTTTGTTGTTGGTAAATTGAAGAAAAACAAAACAGTATATATTTAGAATAACATTTCAATGATATAAAAATTGAAATTGAGATTATCTTCTTCCAAAGTAAATGTAATAATGTATTTGCCAATCAGTATTCTATTCTATTCTATTCCATTCAATTATATTTCATTCCATAACATTTACAGGTGTTTTTAAAAAAACCTGAAACATAGCTGACATCAAGAAAATATCCCATTCTTAATGAACATTCTTTGTTAAGTCGTTTTAAAATGTAAGGGTTTTTTATATTAAATGTGTTATAATCAACAGAGAGGGAGAGATTATGTTTGACTGCTGATTACGATGTCCAGACATCTACCAGAATGTTAAATTTGTTTTGTAAATGGCTATTGATCGAACCCCTTACTTACCACCCTAGGAGACAGGCGGCGAAATGTTCTACTTTACAAAGAAGCACAGACTACATTAGGTTCTAATGGTTGACAAATTAATGACTTTTCCAAAGGCTGCGCTTTGTGGTTTTAACCAAATTTTGCGGTTAAGCCAAGAACACCGTGGACGAATAATCGTCGAGTAAACATTGTAAAGTTACGCATTTTTATCTGAAAGTACGGACTATAAAGTTACTACAAATTATGCTGAGCGGAACGATCAAGTTCCTTTCTCCGCCAATCGATAAAAGTTAATTCCCAATGGCTGTTTGTATAGTTCTGAAGCGACGTGAAAGGCCTTTGGTCAAACTAGCTTTTATGCAAATATAAGGACCATTGTGGACGGGAAATTATGGTCTTTTCATGAGTGAAAATTTGTATTGGATTGCCTGAGATAGATTGCCTGTATCCAGAGTATTGCAAAATAAACACATTAATGGCAAGTCAAAACATTTTTTTCAAGTATTCACGGTCTCTTTGCGTTTTTTTATTAAACAAAACCTCGAGCCACCGAGAGTATAAGGAAACAATGATAAAATAATTAATTTAAGCAGAACAGCAAAGAGAGAACGACTCGTAATGCAGAAAAAAAACCCTACTAAAATGAGCTTGTAAAATGTTGTTATCTACGTTTGTATCTTAAGACATGAATGGAAGTTTTCAAAACAAAATTTAACATTCCAGTTTTATTTACGTCTGCGTATATTAGTCGGCTTTCACATTCAGTATGATAATGACCGTTCAGATGAAATATTTAATGATTATTCAATGGATTTATTAATAACACAAATTGACATAAGTTTACGAGACCACGAGAGAAATACTGGCATATTTGCATAATTTTAAATTTATTCTAGATCGTTAGACTGACAAATTGTAAAAATATTGTTCAGAAATCAAAATGTATGCTTAAACAGAACCATGCGGTAGTTGGCTAGACTTTTAAGCATATTAAAGTTTGTTTTTGTTTTAATTTCATAGACATTTAAGCTTATTGTAAGCAGTAGATAATAATAATTTGAATGATGAAATTAACACCGACACAACAAATGTTTCCTACACGACAAATATACGGCTTCGTTAAAACACATATTTCTCAATTGTAAGGCGCTTTATTTTCTTAAACTGTGATTCGCAGAAATTATTAAACATAAAGTTGATGCAATAAGAGGGTCAATTAAGTTGCATTTAAAAAAGAAATATATGAAAAGAATTTCCATATATATATACACAGATGTATTTCAACACTATAAAAATAAATCACTAAACAGTGCACAGCCAACGGAAAAAATGTGTATAATCATTTTCTTTTGTTGAAATTCAAGTTCTGTTCTCATAGATTTTACCACC